ATCCCTTAGCCACAGTGCTCTGGAACCCTGTAGGAGTTTTCTTTCTTAAACAAAAAGTAGCCCCCATTACTGACAATCCAGCAGCTCTCAACAAGCAAGTAGCCCTAGACTTCTCACTGTCCACACTGATCAATCAGGCTCTTCTTCTGACCTATTCTCTGAATCATTAGCTGGCTATAAATTGGACCCCCCTCGACTTCAAATGTCCCTAAACACTGCAAAGCTTCTCTGATTGACACAAAGGAAGCAGAATCTGCATCAACTGTGTATCAGTTGGCAGCATCCTTGCCAGTGAGTCAGAAGGGTCCAGGTTCAAGTCCCACATGCGCACAAAATTCAAAGCTGACACTCCAGATGGAGGGCCACACTGTTGGAGGCACCATCTTTCAGGTGAGATGTTAAACCAAGGCCTCAGCTTCCTGCTCAGGTGATGTAAATGATCCTATGACCCAGGGGAATTCACCCGGGGTCCTGACCAATAATTGTTCCCCAACTGTCTTCACTGAAAGGGATTATCTAGTTGTCATCTCCTTTCTGTTCGTGGGAACTTTCTATGTGAAAATTGCCTGCTGTGTTTCTTACGTGACAACAGAGACCATGCTTTAAAAGTACTTCATTGGCTGTAAAGCACTTAGAGATGTTCAGGAGTTGTGAACGGCACTGTAGAAATGTAAGTTTTTCTTTTTAGAATCGGGATTCATAATTTGAATGTAACCTTTTCCTGTAAATTATTCCAACTCATCCTAAAAAGAAGCAGAATCTGTTAACAAAAGAGAAATGTGGAGCATATCAGAACCAATGAATTCCACTGAGTCCTGATGTCCAACAGTGCATCAGACTTCCCATGTAAAAAGGAAATGAGTAAGTTAATCTCTGATTTGTGTAATCTTACATTGTGCACTATGTCAGAAAGAAGACAGTTTTATGACATTTGTTTTGCTTCAAGCTCCTAATTAGACTTTTGTTGCAAAGTAAAGTCTCAGATGTTGCCCTCTGAGGACTAGTTGATATAGCTCAGAACTTTTTCTGTTGGCAACCACTAAAACAAAATCTTTCAACTAACAAAATGCTCTTAACTCAGGCAGGCACTGACTGTCCTGAGAGAATTTGATATAGAATCCCTATAGTGCAGAAAGAGGCTGTTCAGCCCATCAAGTCTACACTGACCCTCCAAAGAGCATCCCACCCAAACCCAGTCCCTCCATCCTATCCCCATAGCCCTGCATTAATGGCTAATCTACCTGCACATCCCTGGACACTATGAGCAATATAACATGGTCAATCCACCTAACTTGCACATCTTTGGACTGTGGGAGGAAACCAAAGCACCCAAAGGAATCCCATGCAGACATTGGGAGAATGTGCAAATTCCGCACAGACCATCACCCAAGGCTGGAATCAAACCTAGGTCCCTGACACTGTGAGGCAGCAGTACTAACCACTGAACCACCATGCTGCCCTAACTGTGGACAAATCAAATTGTAGACAATCCTAAAGCAGTTGTGATGTAAGCATTGTAATTTATATATATTTTAATATCATCTATTTTGGAATTTTTAATTCTGAACTGGTGGCATATGGGTTTCTGTGTGACTGAAGGGTGTGAGATTAATTTGTGGGTATTTCTATCACCATGGTGATTTTTGTTTAGAAACAATCTGAGAGAGACAGTTCAGGAAGACTAATGGGAATTTATTTACATTGGGAGGTTATCCAATGAACAAAGAACAACTGCTACCAGAGAGATTCCTCCATAATTTTCAGAATCACCACTTAACACTGGATAGAGACTGTAGGGATAGGGTTTAATGAATAAGCAGATAAACCTCTGAGATACGCTGGCTTTTCTCGTGCCCTCAAGAGTCATCTGATCGAGACTCTGCTAGAAGGTTGGATCAACTCTAGAGCATACAGTCATAGAGCTGTACAGCATGGAAACAGACCCTTCGATCCAACTCATCCATGCCGACTAGCTATCCTAAATTAATCTAGTCCCAGCAGAGGGGTCTGCAGCTAAAACATCATGTATATATTGTTCATAAAGACTTTTTGAAGAAACATTTTGAGATCTGGCCTGAACGTATCTAAAGCACACTAAAACATGGTGATATCGGTGGAGACACCAATCTAGAGATGGCGCTTTTCTGAGTACTTGCAGAACCACGAAGCAAGGCTGAGGGACCGAGAGGCAAAAATCCTCAGAATCCTTTCTGAGTGCTTTAAGTTGAAGAGTTACCCCAAATAATCCACTACTTTGGCCAGCCTGCCTTGTATTCTGGACTGCCTGCTCTCATGTTCTGTTTTCTTTAGACTGCAAAAAAAATCAGAGTTAATTGTGATGGACCCGAATCACTATTTTATTTCAAATAAGCTTGTCCTTCAATGTGCCACAGTCACAATAATTGACCAACCTGTACAATGTATTAATGAAGGAGCCTGCTGATTCCCCTGGCTTCTGGTGCATTCAATAACAAGTTTCCTCTCGGACCTAAAACAGACATAAAAAGCTGCTAGGACTGACTGAAAATCAGGTTTGATCAATACCTTGTCCACTAAGGACATAATTCACAATGGGGCCCATTGTCTATATAAAAAAAGTAATGACCTATGTGCTGATGCTGCTTGGAACGGAGACCTGGGACTGTTCTGTACAAGTCGAAGTGCTAACCCTAACCCTAACTCTCATCTATACCTGAATAGGTTCATAGAATCGCTACAGTGTAGAAGCAGGCCATTCAGCCCAAGGCCACTGACCCTCTGAAGGGCATCCCACCCCAGACCCACCTTCTAATCCTGCAATTCCCATGGCTCATCCACCTAGTTTACAGATCCCTGGACTCTATGGGCAATTTAGCTTGGCAAATCCACCTAATCGGCACATCTTTGGACTGTGGGAGGAAAACGGAGCACCCCGAAGCAACCCACACAGAGATAGGGAGTATGTGCAAACTCTACACAGACAGTTGCCTGAGGCCTGGATTGAACTCGGGTCCCTGGCGCTGTGAGGCAGCAGTGCTAACCACTGAGTCACTGTGCCACCAAGGTTCTTTGACTTCACCTGACGAAGGAGCAGCACTCCGAAAGCTTGTGATTTCAAATAAACCTGTTGGACCATAACCTGGCCTTGTGTGATTTCTGACCTTGTCCACCCCAGTCCGACACCAGCACCTCCACATCATAGATTCTTTAACAGCATCAAAGGGCTGCAGTAGGGATAGGATGTACTTTGCTGGTGTGGACATGACTGCCACATTGGAGTATGGACTCATTTGGGGTAAGTTTTCAACTTAAAGTAGTCGGGAAGGATTCTGAAGATTTTTGCCTCACAGTTCTTCAGCCTCACTTTGCGGTTCTGCAGATTTGCAGAAAAGTGCCATCTTCTCTAGATTGGTGTCCTCACCGATATCAACATGTTTTAGTGTGCTTGAGATAAGTTCAGGCCAGATCTCAAAATGTTTCTTCAAACAGTATTTATGAACATGATGATTTAGCAGCAGACCTCTCTGCTCTAGTGTTGATCTAATCTTCTAGCAGAGTCTCGATCACACGACTATTGACGTGACAAGAACAATCAGCATATCTCAGAGGTTCATCTGCTTATTCATGAAACCCTATCCCTACAGTCTCTATCCAGGGCTGAGTGGTGATTCTAAAAACTACAGAACAATCTCTCTGGGAGCAGTGGTTCTTTGTCATTGCTGGGGTTGGGTGGGGTGTCTGAGAGAGGGAGACATGGCCTCAAGCTTTGAGGGAGCAATTGGTGGATGGTCCTGCTCCATGTTCAGGTGGAGTCAGGGGACCTTCCTGTGCCATTGTGCTGTGTAAATTCAGCATGTGGAAACATCAATTGTAGTATCCATTTGTCAGACACTGTAGTCATATTTAATGTAAACAGAATGCACTTTATTCCATCACCACAACGCAGTCATAAGCCATATTCAGGCTGCTTTCTGAATGTTTTTAAATATAAGGCTGTATTTTTAATTTGTAGCAGTTTGACAAGTTTTGCTTGTTTCCAATTGTAAGATTTGCTCAACGTTGACAGCTCAGCTCTAGAGTTTCTGAAGCTAATATTTCACACAATTTTGCCAAATATTTTTTCTCAGGCATATAATACAAGATTATATGCTGCTTCATCCTTAACCCTAAATGTAGCACAAAAAAATGTATGCTGATAATCTGCCTGGGATACCGTCTGTGATTTTGATTTGACTGAAGTCTACCATTAATTTGCAGGAATAATCAAAATTAGGCATTAATTTCGCACAACACTGGTTTAGAGACAAAGGCAAAATATACGCCCTGCAGTTGCTAAAAATCTGAACTGCGAAGAGAAAATGTTGGA